ACAAATATATATATATATATCTGTGTGTGTATCTTCATCCCATTTCAGAATTACACCTTAATCATCCAGAGATGGAACCTGTTCACTAGCTACAGCTTCTGGGCATCTGCGTCACCTACCCTCAGTAGATTGGTTCATTTGGATGAGTAGGGATTGGAACTAAATTAAGCTGAGCTAATGAGTAGGGAGAAACATGGAAGAGGATAGACCAGGAGATAAACTGACTCTTTCTTCTTAAAACTGACATCACCAAAGTTCCATCCTCTTAAAATAGGACATCACAAGTATTTAATATTGCAAAAATCCTCTACACCCATCTTGGACTCTCTACCAAAATACCTGCAATTCACAGAAAAAAAGACACACAAGCTCCTCTCCTTTGTACCTTCCTCTTCATACTCTTCTCATCCTGTTCTCATTCCCATCAGCTACCTCACTAACTCCTATGCACCTTCCAAAAAATGTTTTCAAATGTCCTCTCTCCAAGGAAAATGTATGGGCACCCAGTCTAATTCATTCATATGCCCTCCTTCATACTCTTGAAGTACTCTGAATGCTTTATCCCAGATCTTTTCAGGCTGACTGTAACCACTGGCGTTGAAATGTAGATTTCCTGAAGGAGTCAAAATCTAAATTGCTTGAACCCAGCAGAATATCCATCTGGCATGCAGGGGTCACTCAGTGAATTTGTTGAATGAACAAATGAGAGTCCAATCTTTCCAGGAGTTAACTTGTAAAAGGCAAGGCAAGGAAGCTAAATACTAGAAATGATATTTTCCTAAGTTCTGTACCCATAGTAGGCCAAAGAGTGACATGTAACATTTGAGTCTTGATTGTTGAAACAGTCAAAGAGTGGTAACAAGCAGATATATCATCAGTGAAGGATAATCAAGAACATGCCCTTATTTAACAACATATTGAAATAAGATCATGACCCACAAAGATAACTTCTAATACTGCTCTTTTGGTATTAACACTTAATATAATTTGCTATTGAATGCAGTTAAGTAAATATAACCTTTATGTATAATTTTGCAAAATCACCTTGCCAGTAGTCCCCTAACATCAAAGATCCACTTAAAAGATCCCATTTTTTAACTTAAAATGGCTTTATTCTATTATTTTCTCATCTGCCTTTCTACTGAGTGGATAAGCCACTTCAAGTTGTTTTCAGAGTCAGAAGGAGAGTCAAAATCAAGTACTCAGCAACTTTAATATTAATTGCCAAACTTAACCTAAAACATTTTAAACAGCCATTTACCTGAATACAAAGCTGATCTGGGACTTCTAACAACCTACTCGTGTTTGTGTCAGTGAAAAGGGAGGACTTTTAGTTCAGGGCTCACCTGGTTTCCCCCGAGGCCATGACATGTGTACAAAATTAACGGTTTGCCTCCTTGATTATTTTCTCCAACATCCAGACACAGAGGCTGACCAATGCTTTTAATCTGAAGGAAAATTTTCAAGTTATAGAAAAAAATTTTAATCTATGTGGTTGATATATTTTTTCAATTAATTTCAATAGTAATACAAAATCTCAAAAGCCATAAACCAGAAAGTATTCCAATTTTCCCTGAACCACATAAATGTTTGTGGCGAGGCATATACCAAGTAAAAAGGAGCCGAAAATACTCACATATCCAGATATAACAGGATTAAGGTCTGGCACATATGCTTCTGGATAAATAGTGTTCAGATACCATGTAAAATTTTTACACTGAAGGCGGTGCTTTATTTCAAATCTTTTTGAAAGATCACCAAATGATTTCTGGAGAAAGATGAGAAGTAAAAAGAATGCTTAATCAAAACAGCACTGACAAAGGAGTTCAAATGCTATGATTTGTATTTATATTTGGGTCTTAAAAAAAGAATTCTGGGCCAAAATGCAAGATGCAATTTAACTGCATTCACCATTTATTCAGGCAACAAGTACGCTTCCCTGCTTGTTTCTGCCTTGAAAGAGAATCAAGTTACCACTGTGGGTGCTGACTTAAGCCTATTTTATTCTTTCTTTGTGCTACCAAACCTCCCTTACTGAGGCAAAGATCTTTAGAGAAATGGTAGTGGGAGAATCCAAAATTGATCCTCATTTTACACCCAAAAATTATCTGTGAAGTGAGGTGTGAGGAAGCAGGTATAAACAAACAGTTGCCGGGACACCTGGGCGGCTCAGTCAGTTAAGCATGACTCTTGATTTTAGCTCAGGTCATGATCTCAGGGTTGTAGGATCAAGCTCTACCTTGGGCTATGCACTGATCGAAGCTGGCAGAGAAAATATTTAACCTTAATTGAAATGATAAGCTTGAGTATTTAAGCCACTTATATATTTTATATATATTCTCCCTCTCCCTTTGTCCCTCGCCCTCCCCACTCTCTCTCTCTCAAAAAAATTACATAAATAAACAGTTGCCAATACAATCTAATTCATATCTCTTCTCTAGTCAAGACTACAAAAGACAACACAGTGGGGCATAATTTTTTTCTAGTTTTAAGGGTGTTACTCCTTAACAATAACAAAATATTCATAGAAAAAGGCAAGTTTTTAATCAATTGCATTTTATTTTCCTTTATTTTAAAAAGACTAAGAAAAAAAATTTTAAAGAACACTGTTAAACTGAAAAGGTATTTGGTCTATAGGCAAAATTTTAAAGAAAAATTATATTTAGTACCTAAATATATACAAAGTTTAAACACTCAAGCTTACCATTTCAATTTAAGGTAAATATTTTCTCTGCCAACATCAATGTCTTGAATCCAGGGGTTTTAGCAAAAAGGGTAAAACTCTAAAGGACTTCTGGCTAACTTAGGCATTTTATCACAAGATCTGTTTGCCCTGTGGTAAAAACAAGGGTTTACTGGCTTGCTTGCCCCTTTGTGGGTGACAAGGGAGTGTAAGCTGCAGTTAGCGTCCACCTGCCTGCTTAGCCAAGTACCCGTGTGCAGTACACAGTCTGCCCAATTTGTCCTGCCGGACTTACATAAACAGATAACATCTAATCCAGTAGTGCTCTGACTTTGCATCTTACTAACATGTTACAGGGAGATACTGGAGACCAAAGAAAAGCTGGAAAGAGGTAACCAGACCTTTTGTTGTAACAGTCAAAATGCTAATGCCCTTTAATCTCAATATATACCCCCTGCAAATCAGCACTGTTTCTTAAAAAGGGTTGGGTGCCATTCACTGAGGCACACTCCTAAAACATCTAGTTCATTTACCACAACCAATATTGAACCCGTTGGACCTCAGTGCCAATGTATTAAGCATCACAATTCTGCAAAGCTTTTATCCATGACAGGTCAGTAACAACAGTGCCATACATTTGTGAACACTTACTTCTTTATTTCATGACTACTCTGGGAGATAGGCAAGTATTTCACCTCTCAAGATGGAGAAGCAGAAAGAAGAAGGTTGGCTGAGCACACACCCCATGTTGGGCCAACCTCTCAACCACCCTATGAAGTGTCATCCCATTCTACAGTCTCAAAGGGACTTTGCCAAGGTAACCCCTCCAGCAAGCAGTGCAACCAGAACTTGAAATAAAAAAAAAGGCTTGGGACACCTGGGTGGCTCAGTTGGTTAAGTGTCTGCCATGATCTTGGGGGTCTGGGGATCAAGCCCCGCATCAGGCTCCCTGCTCAGCGGGGAGTCTGCTTCTCCTTCTGCCTCTCCCCTCTGCTTGTGCTCCCTCTCTCTCAAATAAATAAATAAAATCTTTAAAAAATATTTTTTAAAAAGCCTTGATATTCCTGGTTTATTATCCTGCCACATTCTGACACTGTGTCCATCCCCAGTTCAAAAAGCCACTTAGCACCTTTCTTTAGGTGTTAATTGCATCACCTAAAACCAGTTAAAAGTGGTTCCACTTAATCTTACTTTTCTTTGAGGAAAATCCTGAACCAAGGCAGTTACAAAAACGAAATATCTTCCATATTTAAAGAGTAACATCAAGTGGAATGCCTAATTTTTTTAAAAAGCAGCTTACTTGACTTTTCCTTAAAAAGAGAAAAAAACTGGCATCAATAAGATATATTTTGAGTTTAAAAAACCAACTTCAAACATAATTTTTTACAATGTTTTGTACTTGAACTGACTCAAATAAAAGAATATGTGAACTTGGTGTGGATTTTAATTGTAATTTAATTATTTAGCTCTAACTTACTTGTTTAACAATTTTTGCTGCATCTGTGTTTCTCCTATAAAATATTTCCTTGTATTCATCCATCCAGACTTCTGCAAGGCGAACTTGGTTGCGAGCAATCACCTGAGTGCCTTTTGGAAAGGTATGAGGGCTTTTGCTGCGAAAAACATGTCCAACAACAGAGCAAGGCATAATCTCCAACTGCCCACCACATTGCCATACCTGATAATTAATGATATTTGTTTAATTTACAGTATATTTACAAAACCAAAGTGCTGCTTTTAAGTTCATCTTTAAGATACTAATAAAAACAAAATATAGAAAAGAAATTTATTATAACCACAAATAGTCTCTGTCCCCTCCAGTTCAACTTAAATTCTTAAATAATAAAAAAGTTTTATGAAATGGTACAAAAACTAAAGATAAAAAGGCATATTTTCAGAAAGTAATTTAATAAAATAGTGACTTCAGATCTTTCATAAAAACAAAGCCCCACGTTTCTTTTTTTTTGCAAACAATTATGCAAGCTCTCTAATATATATACCAAAGACCAAAGGCTCCTTTGTATTTGACTTCTACCTTCTTACACAAGCTACATGGTCACTTCACTTGAACCAAAGATTCTCTCTTCTATGGCAGGAACTAGCAGTCTTGGAGTAAGTGGACCCAGACTCTGTTTACCCCTTGCATATTCAATTTTGTAATTAAGAAAACAATTCCAGATAATACCCAAGTACAGTCTTGTGAAGGAGTTGGTCATTATAAAAAACTCATACCTATTTAGAGATAGAGGGTCAAAAAACTTATTTGGGAAATTATTAAATCAATACCTACTCACTTAAAAATCTTTAATACAGCAATCAGTTCTGCCGTAGTCACTAAGCAAAAAATCTAAAATGAAGACATGTTTAAATAGTCTGTGCTAGTATTAGGGCAAGAGGTCATATTCCTTTTTTTAAACAAATGAGAAAACTCAGTGGTATATTTAATTCAACAAATTGTGCCTGAAATCTAACATGTGTTAGGGGTTGGGAATACTTAAATGAATAAAAAAAGGCCCTCCCTTGAGCAGTTCAAATTTGGCTAAGATCATCATTGCCATTATGTGATGAAGCCAGAACTAAAACTTAAATCTTCTAACTCCTAGTTCAGTTCTTTTCCCACTACATTCCAGTCTAAAAGATGAAAAATGAATGACAGAGTCATTGCAGAAAATGAACTCATGAAATCAAATAAGTGTACGTGGAGACCATCCAAAGTTTTTGTTTTGTTTCTCATACTAACTTTTAATATGCATAGGAAAAAAAAAAAGCTCATTTAATGCAAAGAGTTAATGTCTTTTTAAAATTATACACAAATGTTTTTCCATTCTGACTCCCTTGATAATCAACTCATTTCCTGAAGCACTAGATTGAATTATATTTATCTTGGCTGGAATTCAGTAGCTACAAGTGCATTAATTGGTGCTATTGGCTGAACACAGGCGTTTAACTGATTCCTCTTGTTACATTGGCAGCAATGAGTTACATTTTATTTTATTTTTTTTAAATTTTTTATTTATTTATTCATGAGAGACAGAGAGAGAGAGAGGCAGAGGGAGAAGCAGACTTCCCGCAGAGCGGGGAGCCCGATGCGGGACTCGATCCCAGGACCCTGAGATCATGACCTGAGCCGAAGGCAGACGCTTAACCATCTGAGCCACCCAGGCGCCCATGAGTTACATTTTAAAAGAAATACCCTTATTCTAAAATTTCTAGCAATTAAATTTTAGAAAGCATAAAAAGTAAAGACTGCACACATCTATGATAATCTGTATCAGCCAATTAGAACAAAATGTGTATTTTACTGTTTAATATGTACTATATTTATAAACTTACTCTGAAAGACATTTCTATATTTTCACCTCCCCAGATTTCCATTTCTTCATCGTAAGTTCCAATATATTCAAAATATTCTTTTGATATGGAAAAAAGGCCTCCTGCAAAAGTGGGTGTTCTGAAAAATAATCCATCGTCAAACTTCGTTATAAAAATTAAATAAGAAAGAAGAACTTATTTAAAGAGCAACTGAATCAAATTCCCAAACAAATTAAAGAGAGATCACAATTTCAAAAGTTTTACATAGGTTAATAAAAACTAAAAATGCTATCTTCAGAGTCAAGTTTTGTGGGGGTGAAGGGTAGTAGTTTAAATATCCTTTTCCCAGCAGAACAAAATTATGAAGTGTCTTCTAACCAAGCCTAAAGATTCTGAAGTATGATTATGAGGAAGACTAAAGACCTCACTTACTTCTACTTCCTACTCAGTAATATCATGCGTAAATATATATATAAATGGCTTTTTATTCCCTACATAGAATGTGTATGTTCTTTATCTCGTTAGTGTGAATTACCTTGGAGGCAAAAACTGTAAAAAAGAAAGAGTGATTACATGTTTAAATAACTGAACTGCATATAAGACTTTGAGAGCAATCATCTTACTTAATTGGGTAGGTTTCATCTTTCCTTCTTTGCCTCTCGTGATCAGGAAGCGATTCCCAGCCAAATGAAAGACTCCAGTCAAAGTTTCCACGGTTGTGATTACTTCCATAAGGAGAAGGTTTGTTGAATTCAAACGTGTTTAGATCTATGGATGCAATATCCGGACTCACAACTGCTGTGTAGTTCTCGGCTATTCTAGCCAACAAAGGTTCTAACCAGCCATAGAAACACTCACCTGGAAGGAACATAATTCTAATCAATCCAGTGAAAACACTGAGGGTTTTCTCCTTTGTTTTTTAAGACAGTTTAGAGAAATGAATAATAGTCAATTGTGTTTTGAACATTTAACATCGAGGAGATTTCTTAAAGGTTTCTTGTGATGCGATGAGGGTAAAGCAAGATTCAGCATAGTTAGGAAAGTTTGTATACAGGAGATGTTTTGTTTTTTTTTTTTTTTACCTTAGTGAGGAAGTAAAATGACACTGGAATATTTAAGTTTCAGATGCTGTGTTTCCCTCTGAAACGAGCTATGAATCAAACGTAACTTCTTGCTGATCCATGCCACCTAAACCCAGAAGTGTTCTGATTTATTAAACTCTCCCTGAGTAAGGTGTAGTAATCAAAATCGTCATTTCTCTGACTGAGTCTTAGGAGAAAATAAGTCAAGGAGTCAGAATATTTTGATTTCAGCAGTTGGAGAAGGACTATTCAAACCTGCCCCAGCCCTAATGGAAAGTGGGGGCAAAGAAATGCCATAAAAAAGTCTTGGCCTGGCCAGGCTCACTTAACACACAGAATTCGGGAGATTCAGTCCTACCCAGGTTTCCCCATCAGGCAGAGTTTGGCAGTTATTAGGAGGACCACTTGGTATCATGGAGATCCATCAAATACATTTGCCTGATTGGAAGAATGCCCAGTCTGACATAATTGTAATTTTGGACCAGGAGAGGAAATATTGGAGAATGAACCATTTCCTTTTTTAAACATCTCTCTCTTCATTTAAGAGCCAGGTATTAAGAAAGTACTGGATATGATAGCTCAAAAGAGACTCAAGCAAATCCAAAAGCCCTCTGTAACAATTAGCATATAACCAAAACCATTTGCCAGGTCAAACATAATCTAAGGGCTAGTCAATTCAATTCAAAACTAAATGCTCATACAAAGAGTATAACCCACTAAATTTATAGCTGAGGGACTAAGTGACATTTTAGTAATCCCTAACATGCACTTTATTTTTTTAATTTTTTTTATTTTTTCATTTTTCTAAGATTTTATTTATTTTTTGAATGAGGGAGAGAGGAAAAACAAGCAGGGGGAGTGGGGGAGGGAGAAGCAGGCTTCCCGCCGAGCAGGGAGCCCAATGCGGGGCTAGATCCCAGGACCCTGGGATCAAGACCAGAGCCTAAGGAAGGCAGCCATTTAATGACTGAGCCACCCAGGCGCCCCTCCCTAACATGTACTTTAGACATGGGCTCTAAAAATTCTATATACTTTCTTTAAAGTCATTGACACTGGAGAACAAAACCATTAAAAATAACAGGGAAAAAAACAGTAGCAATAAAACAAAAATTGATAATATTCATTTTAAAATGCCAGAAGAGGTTGGAACACAGCACAAGAGGAGTCTGCAAATCTTTGAAAAAAGAACTAAAATACAGAAATTGAAAGTATCAGGACCAGGACAAAACTTTCATTCATTTTAAACTGTTAAGAATCAACAGTAATAAGGAAAAACTTTTTTTCTTGACAGAATGAGCATTTGAAAAAAAGCCCAGGCAAGGATAACTTGCTGGGGAAGTTGGTCACTGAAGGATACTGGAATTGAGGAGCCTAAAACACAGAGGAGGTAAGAACTCCATTAAGTTAAAGGAGGTTCCTACCCAGAGCTGTAATCTGCTTCGGCCATCATTGCTATAATCACCAGTTGAAAATGATGTTAAAGAAAATACAATTAGTCATTTAAAGAAAAGTCGTCTTCAATTTTTAAATTGGAGGGAAGCAGAGGGAAAATGTTACAACTATGTCTATACATATATACTTACAGTGAGCATCTAAAAATGTGAGTGTTTCAGCTGTTGCAACTGTTGCTCCTAGCAACCTTGCAGTGATCAGACCTTTTCTCTCTCTTTGTCTGACTATTTTTACTATAGAAAATTGTTTTATATATTCTTCTAGTTTATCATGTAAGTACTCTGTAAGAAAAAAATATCAGGATTAATTCTTCCTAAGTTTATATTCATATATAACACATGAAGGCTAATTAAAAAAACCACAGAGCAATGATATCTCCACATTTGTTGTCTTAACAGTTGCACACACTCTTCCATTAAGATGAAAATTGTATATTTAGCTCTTTAATGAAAAAAAATATAGCTATATATGCAAATCTTAACTTCTGAACTACTATAACACAAAACGTTTTAACACAGACTTCTCCTGTACATGAAATATCAATAAATATATTTGGGAGGAAGCAGAGACTTCAAATGGAGTAGACCTCAGGAGTTAAGAAGACTCATTTAGGGGTCTAAGAACATTAGCTAAGGGAGTGAGGGAAACTGAATTTGGCCAAAAACATATTTGACACTTTTTTAAAATTGGGATTTAAATCTGGAAATTTAAAGAAAAATGACAAGTATCAAAAGGATTCTGATACTTAGGCAGTGATAAAATAATTTAAAACCAAAACATTAAGGAAAATGGCAAATAGGAAAGTCCAAGGCTATCGCAGTTTGGGAATATTTTTACAGAGTCAGCATAAAATTTTTGAAAGCTTTGGAGTCCCCTGACACACAATTTTTTTTCCAGTAAAAATATGACAGAAGAAGGGAGCATGTAGGTGAGGAATGAAGCTAAAAACAGGCTAAATCTTGTTAATGGGTATATAATTTAAGATATTTATTCCAATTTGGATGAGAGACATGATAAGCAAGAGTTAAAACAGTAGATAAAAGAAGACACATTAATCACATCAGTCAGGTGTTGCTCATATCGTGAAACAACTTAAGTCTGCTTTTTCACCATTAAATTCATGATTTTTTGTTGAGTATATAATATAGTTCCTCAGGTAGCCTTCTTAGGCTCATAGTCCAGCCTCAAAAAGATCTGGGAATGCTGAGAACATCAATAAATGTCCTAGGGTAGATGTTTGCTTCTGCCAGATTTCAGAAGCAAGCACAGATGACTTCATCTGTGATTATGTTTTTTTTGTTTTTTTTTTTTCCTATTCTCCAGTGGTACAGATAAATGAGTTGCTTATTCAAAGCTTAAACATTCATAAAGAAGGTGAGAGTCCAGGAACAACTTCTGTGGAAAATAAATCTAAACACTGTTGCTACAGAGTAACAGACTAACTTTTTAACTGCCTCCTCAGGTACCTCAGAATTCATTCTCTGAAAGACAAGCAGGATTGTAATTTATCTTAAAATATAAATCATGGATATTCCTGTTTTAACCATAGATTTGACTTGTAAAATAAAAACGTATATAAAAACATTTCAAAGGTCTTAATGGGGATTTTTTTTTTTTTAATGGAGTCACTACAGATTCCTTCAGTAAACTGTCTCACTGTTTGATTTGTTAAGGAATTTTTCATTTACCCACAACTTCTGAACTTCCTATACATTTTTATCTGCCCCTTAAATTCAGTCCCCATCCATACCCATCTTTTTGTGAGGTTAAGAGCACAAAGCTGTGAAATCCGTTCTCCTGGGTTTATCTATTTATAGTACCATTACTCTTAGCTGTGTGACCTTAGGTAAGTTATTTTATTTTACCTGTACTTCAGTTTATCTCTAAGATGGGGATAATAACACCCTCACAGGGGATTGCTGGGAGGATAAAATGAAAAATTACTATACAAATAAAGCATTTAAGACAGGGCTTACCACATGACCTATGCTCTGACAATGTTGATTATCTTTTGTTTTACTATCATTGGGACTTACCTATCTTTGTCACTTGATTAGCCACATATTTTTGCTGCTCTTTCCTAAACCAACTGAAATCAGGGATTATCATTTCTACCTCACACACTCCTTTACAGTGACTAGGGACACATTTTCCATAGTGGGTACTCATCATTAGATAGACCATTTATTCAGTAAGACAAATTAATTACATTAGTATGCAAAGATATCCCTCACCAAGAAAACTTTTAATTATTATAAAGAATTATAAAAATATCCAGGCCCAGGTGCCTGAGTGGCTCAGTTGGTTAAGCCACTGCCTTTGGCTCAGGTCATGATCCTGGAGTCTCAGGATTGAGTCCCACATTGGGCTCCCTGCTCAGCAGGGAGTCTGCTTCTCCCTCTGACCCTCCCTCCATCTCATGCTCTCTCCTTCTCTCTCTCTCAAATAAATAAATAAAATCTTAAAAAAATAAGCAGGGGGAGAGGCAGTGGGAGAAGCAGACTCTCCGCTGAACAGGGAGCGGGGTGCGGGACTCAATCCCGGGACCCTGGGATCATGACCTGACCCAAAGGCAGATGCTTAACCAACTGAGCCACCCAGGGCCCCCACTTTTCTTTCTGATTTCCTTTAAATCTATTAATTTTATTTGTACAATTAAATAATAGAAGTTACTTTCAACTGAAGGCTTACTACAAGTAGCCTTACTGTGGCCCCGATTTCTCACTGCTTGAAAAATCAAACAAAATAAAAATCATCTGAGAAGAAAGCTCACAAAACCAGAGCAGGAATTTTTTTTTTTTTTTTTTTTAACGACAAAACCTATGAGAGACATGCAGAACTTAATTAAATGTCACTTAAAACTCTATGGACTGCAGACCAAGTAGAAAGAATCAGAAAAAATTCTGAACATTTTAAGCAGTAAATAAATTAGTTGATTACAATTAAGTGGTGATATAACCTGGGTAGGAGGACTGGAAATTCAAGTCAGAGATCTGTATGTAGTGTTACCCATGAGGAGGAGACTTGAATTCACCATTTGGTGAATTGGTTTCACATCCAGGTCAAAAATCTCTGGTGATAAGCAACCTTATTCCACTTAGATGTTAATGTAACTTCAAAACATAATCTCAATTCACTCATGATATTTTGAAATTATAGAAATGTTTAGGATTGTATGTAGAAATAATTAAATAAGCCCAGTTAATAATTTTATGTTTTATTCACTTATTATCATTTCTTAAGTCTGGATAAATCTTGTTATTGATGACATGTCACTTAACAAGCAGTATTTTTTTTTTTTTCATAGTACGTAAAGTAATGGTTTATCTTAAAATAGATGTTGCTTTGGATTTGATGAAAGAGTATTACTATCTCCATTTTATAGATGAGGAAACAGCTAATTAGTATTAGAGTTGGAATTTGACCTTAAAGAATTTGGATCCAAACTCAACTCATTCAGGAATAAATTCTGTGATCATTGAAATAATCTGTATCTGACTGATATTTAAAATACTTGTAATGTTTGAAAATTTAGCAACATAGGGTATTTGTCTGATTAGCTTTGTGATTCCAATTTAAAATGTATAATTTAGGACCTGACAATTGACTGGTAATTTTAAGTATAAATGCATTAAGGAATTTAGCTAACTTTGTAAACTATATTGGCATATTTAGCAGCCAAAGTAAAACAGAATGTAGCGACTCTTTAATGATTTTTAACTACTTGTTTATATTATTAATATATTATTTATATTAACTCATCTAATCTTCAAAACAACCCTAGGAGTTATGCACTACTTATGTATTTCCTCAATTCTAAGCTGCACAATTGGAAACTTCTTATAATCAATGGCATCTTTGTTTAATTGTCTGTGAGGGTTTTTTATTCAAGTGGTAAATAAACTAATGATGTATCATACAATACGTTTGATGGAATATGGCATTTTCCCCATTTTACTGAGAAAAAACTGAGACATAGAGGAATTAAGTAATTTGCCCAAGTTACATAGCTGGTTAGGACCAGAGCTGGGATTCAAACCAAGGCAGCCTCACTCAAGGCTCAAGTTTGTGTTCTTAACCACGATGCCTTACAATAAAAGTCTTACACCGAGGACTACAAAGTTATGAATCATGGTACTTCATACATTTCTGAACTCTAAAATATTTAAATATGGACACACTTAGGTTCTCCTTTCATCCATCATACCTACCATTCAAGGTATTATATTCAAGTTCTGAGGTGGCATACAGAGAGTACAATATAATAAAATAGACTTTGGACAACATCAGATGGGATTTACTTGGGAAACAATCTAATTTGCATGTGCTTTCTTACCATCTACACTAGCATCATCCACCAAAATGATTTCCTTCAGCAGTATGGCGGGGGAAGAATAAAGCACACTGTGGACAGTTCTAAGCAGCGTGGACCAGGCTTCATTATGAAAAACTATTATGACACTGGTGGTAGGCAGGGGAGGACAGCGCTTAAATTTTTGTTCAATACATCTAGAAGAAGTCAAAGAAGTAGAAGAACAATTACGAATTTTATTACTTTATTTCACAGCTATGTCATTACTAAAATTATCATTATTTAACCTTTATCACCATAGGAACAATAGTGGACAAATTTTTTCTATGTAAGTTGATCTTAATGCTATGGAAATATAAATAGATCACAACAAATTTTTTTACACAGAGATCATGTCCACTGACACAGATTACATGTCAAGGATTAAAATATGCTATTGTAAGTTTTCTCAGCAATATAAAACACAAATAGCATTTCAAAAAGGGAAAATAACCTACAAGTGACACAAACCTGTAAAAATGGAAAATACTTGTAATTGCTCAAATAAAAACCAACTTTTTCTCCTTCCTTGTAGAAATCATCCTTTTTTCTTATTACTTGCAATTTTTTAAACAGTGCAACTTTATTAAATGAATATTTATCTTTGCAGAGATTCTTATTTTCCTATGTAATATTTCTCATGTTTTTAAAATCAATTTACTTAATCTATACTTGAACCAAAAGGGAAAAAATGGCTTACCATAAAATCTATTTTTTATGGTGTTTATGACTCAGCAAGACTTATTAAGTTGCTACCATATGCCATGCTGTGTTAAAGATTTTGCTCCAATAATCTGATCCACAGTTTATTTAAATAAGACCTAGCATTTTAAAATACTAAACTTAAGAATTTTAAATAAAAATCCTAAATCCACGTTAAAAAGTCCTGTGATCCTGTTACCTTATGAAACATTATGGGCACAAGGAGAGTAGTAGTTTTTGGCTGATTAATGGTACTACCCATTAGTTAAACACATTAGTTACAAATTAATCTTGAATTCATTTTTATAATAACATCTTCCTCAATGAAAATAATCTTCATGTGAAGCCGTTAGGTGTGGGTGGATCTGTACGGTCTCCAGGCTTGGAGACTGAAGCTGACCACAGTCCCTTGCCTACTGAGTTGAGGTGGGGATCAAAAGATACAACATATAGTAGAGGGCTTCAGACCACCGTAAAACCAAACAAAGTGACCCTGGGACACAAAAGATGTGTGGTCTATGGTAAAGATAAATAAAGAAAATAACTATCTTTAAGTTCACTTAAAAATCATAAATGGTTGTACAATTTTAGACAATAGAGTATAAAATCCTCCCACACAGTAAAAAGGCACCACAAATACAGTGTATGAACAATCAAACAGTGCTGTTCAAACCCAAAGATAAAGAAGTAAATCATTCACTTATGGAGATAAGAGTCTAGCATGCTTCAAATACTCTGTGAGGGTCCGTGGAGAAACCAGAGCCCCCAGTATGATACCAGAGGCCTGGGAAAACCACCCTAAGAGAGATACCCTATAAATTCTCATGAATCACTTTCATAGCCATACCTCAGTATGAATGTGTTTCAGATCCTTTTCTGAGAAGAGGTCTTTAGGGTGGAATATTTGTAGTGATAAAAAAAGAATTAGATTGAGGATAGAGTATTAACAGAGTGTGTCAACACTGCTGAGTAAGAAAAGGAGAGGAAAGTTATAAGTGAAAGTGATTTTGCTCTCTTGTGCCTTCATGATTTCAAATATATATGCATAATCAGAAGCAAATAATCACATTCATCCTCACTGACAGATGAAAGCAAACCATTTATTTTAGATTGAATTTTGGATAAACTACCAATTAGAAATAAAGTCCAAACACAAACTACCTATTCATAATTACTCTTGACTCACAATTACACAGAAACAAATGACTAAATATAAGCTTGTATTTTTAAGACATAAAGGTTTACAAACCAACATAAACTAAAAGTAAAAATTATTAAAAACTCCATACTATTTTCCTTTAAAAAAAAACCTTATGACTTAATTGTCTTATAAGCATTTTGGGGAGGAGTTTGGGGATTAAAAAAAAATTTCCCTACATTTACTTGTCATGGGACTAATAAACATAATATTAATTGAGAATTACAAAAAGGTTTTGGAATTTTAAATATAAAACCTCACAAAAATTCTCATAAATAAAATCTGATCACTTTAATCTTACAAGGCTTTCCCTCAGTTTAAGCTAGGATTTATCTGCTTAACTGATAACTACTAATACCAAGTAAAGGTGTCATGTTATAACATTAATGCAAGTGATAATAAAATTTCACAGTATGATTTTATAAACCCCAATTATTCTGAAACAATAAAAAAGTATGTTAAACTTATGCTTTAGAAATTTTTTCACGTCATTTAAAGTAGTGAAATCAAACAACTTACCAAACTGACTGCGTATTCCCAGTCAAACCATTTGTAAAATTTGACATATAGATATGTGCTTAAATTATTACATGAACATCTGCCTTTGGGAGACCCTGGATCTATATTTTTAATGAGCATGGAAAAGATCAGCAATTCTTCAGAAAATGTGTTCCTTGCTGATATAGGTTAAATTTAAAGTAAGAAAGTGTTAAATCTTCACCAGTTCTTCACAGTTCTAGGTATCCAATTCCTATCCAAAAAAGGTTCTTTTGAGTGCTTAGTTGTTTTTCACTTACAATAATTTCATTAGTGAATATTATTGTAGCTCCTTAATGCTATACTGGGGGGAAAAACTTATCTTGAGCTGACACTGACTGTCACATCAAAGAATAAAAATTATGCTTCTTGATTTGTGATGTGGATTGCTTTGTAGTCAAGACCTCTCCCCAAATCAGTCAAATGCAATACTGCATTTTAACTATTAACATAAGAAAGGAACTATTCTGTGCCTTGTTATGAAGGTAGAATATTTTACAGACATCCATTTGTTTCTTCACACATTCATTTAAAAATGATGAGCACCTTAACTTTGAATCACACAGATTAGAATAGAGAGACAGAAGTCTAATCTACACAACTTCAATATTGAGTGATTCATAGTTAGAACAGGTATTCATGATCATAACTCTAGAAAAATATGAGTGAAGCCATAGACTTAAGTCTATAAAAGTTCTTTTCTTCAGGTTCACTTCCAAATATAATTCTATCATAACCAGAAAGCAAATATGTAGGCATCGCTTGCTTGCAGTTTGTCTATCTTACACTTTCAACCAATCAACGGTGGTTTGAAAGTGGTGGAATTTATTTTAGCCTGTTTGAATTCAAATAGAGCATTTGAACACAACCTCAAAGATAACAAAATGGTTAACTAAGGAGAGCATAGTAGGATCTGGAGGGAAACCATAGTAAAAATACTGTGTACTTGAGATAACATGTAAACAAAGTGACATAAAAAGCAATGTTGGCCTCTCAGATGCTACAGGGAGACAATTCTATACATATGATACTCAACAAAACTCTGGAGAAAAAAAAAAATCGTAATTGAATTAGCAATTTAACAATATTGTTCCTTAAAAGAAAGGTTACGAAAGGTTACAGGGCATTGTGAAATACAATTACAGTGCTGAAAGTAGCCACAAAGTCTGTGACTTAGTTCATAGAATATTCTTATCTAATAGCTCCAAAGTCTTGGCACTTTTTTAAACATTTCTATTTATTCTATAGCAATACACAGAGGAACCGAGACAGTTCCTCCGCCTCCCACATTTCCCATAAAAACGGCCCCATATTCCCTACTTAATAGATTAGAAAACTAAAGCATTTAAGAATAAAGGATTTCTGGGCTCCTGAGTGGCTCAGTTGGTTAAGCGACTGCCTTCGGCTCAGGTCGTGATCCTGGAGTCCCAGGATCGAGTCCCGCATCGGGCTCCCTGCTCAGCAGGGAGTCTGCTTCTCCCTCTGACCCTCCCCCCTCTCATGTGCTCTCTCTCATTCTCTCTCTCTCAAATAAATAAATAAATAAATAAATAAATAAATAAATAAATAAAAAATAAAGGATTTCTTTGTGGTTCTACAGAAGTCAGATCTAAAATTTAAGTTTTCCAATTTGTAAGGTAACAACTTTTCATGTCTGCAATGCCTCACCGAGCACAGATATGGTTGGCCTCAATACTAAACAAAAACATAATTAAACAAATTAAACAGCAATTGTTGATATTTGCCTCAGTGTGGCTGAAGAACAAGCACATTCCTTAGTTAATGCCCCTCCCCAGAAACCCTAATGTTAAGCAGTAAACAATGAATATTCTTCAACATACTCAGGAGGTCGAGTGTCTGGTCCAAGATCTCGGTGTAAAGAAATCCTGTCACTTGCAAAAGCGTTAAAACAGTGTTTGGCTTCTCCACGTTCTTTTTCCTTCTGCTCTTCAACACTTAAATTGGTTGTCTTGAATGCTTTACCAGAAGCACCAGGTGCATTGGAATCCTGAGGTGGGCGGTCAAGAACCGGTTTCAATTCTGCTGCTGTATAATATCCTTGCAAACAGGGTCTCTCACCAGCATCAATGCTTTGCCTGACAGGTGCTCCTATTTGCATTTTTGGCATTGCATCTTTAATATTGTTTACAGCTTCTAACATTAAATCAAACATCTTGTTTTTGTTTATATTTCTTTCCATCTTTGATTCCTCTTTGGAATATTGAACACTTACTTCTCTTTGCATTAAAATCAAAAATATTATAAAGAAAAAAATTACTGCACCAAGCTTCCAGAACTTTTTATGATAATGTCTTTTAAGATGTAATTTTACTAGTCGCTTTATGTGAGCCATTCTGACATTAAAAGCTTGCCACTTGACAAATAACAGTTATAGTTTCCTCTGTTACTTATATTTTTTATCATAGAGTTGCTGGCAAGAAGCTTTCATTAAATGATAATACCTATAAACAGAAATGATAAATGGCATTAGTAGCTATTCATTCCTATAGGCATGGGTCAATTCATTCATTCAAGCAACAACTAAACATAAGGTATAAACAACGTACTCTTATGGTTAACAAAAATACAAAAATATCTTGCCCTCAAGAAATTACACTTTTGGAAGAACACATTGCTATAATTAGTTATAATCTATTAAGGCTATAAAACATTAGGGATTTCCCTCCAGTAAAAAAAAAAAAAAATACCTTGTAAGCTGTGGCTAATATTTACTATATGATAGGCATACAATTATTTTTATAAACAAATTTAGAGAATTTTTAAAAAGGTATCTTAACTCAATGACCAAGGGGCCAAAAGACTTCATTGAATTGATTATAAAGAAAGGGGGAAATCCATAAGAAAGCAAAGGTATATAGGGACTGTTAGACATACATCTAAAATAGTGGCTTTTATTTTATGGAATTTGCCCTCAATGTATGAACCTCTACTCCAAATGAATCAGTTAAGATTATAAACTGGCATGCTCTCAAATTTGTTTACCTGATAATACTTGTGAATCCTGACAGAACCAATAAAGACTAGAAAATTAAGAGCATCTATTGCATTTTTATACCACAGCTATTTTCTTTTCTTTTAACCACAGCTATTTTCAACAACTCACACAAATACAAAATCTAACAGCAAAAAGAAGATGGCACTAAGCTTTACTTGAAATGACTCTAAAAAGGCAACAAAGATCATTGAGTTACAAAAGCAGTATTTGGTTTAATAAAATACTGCTTGCAGTTGACCCTAAGAACAGAGCAACATGTTTATTAAACTCTAATATGGGCCACCAAAAATGAAAGAAAAGAAAAAGAAAAAAGAGAATTTTGATGACAGCCTGAGTCACAGTGAGGGTTGATTTTCTTTATGATGAAGTTTTAAAAAAGGCAGTAGGAAGGGGTTTCAGTATATAATTACATATCATGCACCATTATACTCAATCCTATTTGCAGGGGCAAAGGGGAAGGAAAATGACTTTTTCCCTAAATCCTAAACATGTTTTAAGTCAAATTTAATTTATAGAAGTGAAAACTACGTTTGACACTTTATTCAGTTTCTCTTCCAAACATATTGCTAAATTTAAAATTAAAAAGCCAAGTTCTAAGATGGATTCTCTGGCCTTTAGTAAGACATTTTAAGCTAAATAAATAAAATACACAGAACTTGAATAGTTAGTTCTATATACTACCTTTATTTGGAAAGATGTATATGTATGTATGTATGTATGTATGTATGTATGGAATAGACACTTTGGCTTCAAAAGATAACTCAATTATAATGTATGTTGCTCATAAAAATGAGATTTCAATATTACTGGATTTGGGTTGCTTCAAGAGCCGCATGTAAGAATTAAAATGACCTGGTTAGCTTTTTACATTATTTGAAGACATAATATAAATAGTTTCAGAACCACACAAATGTTGCTGTGTAAATTCTTACATATCAAATGTTGTGCTAGGCTCTGGCTACCAAATTAAAGATAGCTCTTACTTTCAAGGAGCAGAGACTAGTAGGAAATATGGCATGCCAATGTGCAACCATAAAACATGTGCTAAGATGGAAGACTGAAAGCAATACGGCAGGTAAGGAGAAATGTTAGGGAAATTTTGCCAAAGATAACACTGGTGAGCAGAATCTTGAAAGATAAGCAATTTTTAGGCAGGTGGACAAGAGAGAAGAGAAAGAGAGAATGACAGATGCAAAGACAAAAAAGCAAGACAAGACATGGGCAGTCCAAGTGAAAGACACAGATAGGAAATAGCAGGAGGGGATGCTGGGAGGTCACTTAAAGACTAGCACACAAAGTGAGTCTGGAATCCACCAATTTTGTTTGGAGTGGAAGGAAATGGATTATATTAAGGAAGAATCATAATCATATTTATGTTTTAGATAAGTCACAGGTTCCTCAGCACCAGTAAAGGTGATGAATACCAAAGAAATGAGGAAGGTAGAAAGGATGGAGAGGACTAATTCAGGAGTACAGGAAGTAGAATCAAATAGGACTTGGTGAAAGAAAGGGAGAATGGAAGGTGGATGGCTGAAGTGATGACATTAACAAAGGCAGGGAATATAGGAAGAAGGGTAGACTTGGGGTGGGAATTAGATAATTTGTTCAGTTTGGGAGACAAATTTGAGATGCTGATAGGACTTCCAAGGTGAGTTCTCATGAGCAAAAAGATACATAGGACTGAAAATCAGGGAAAAGTTCTGTGCTAGAGATGAAAATGTGGGAGTCAGTCTTGGGGTACTGAAGAGTTCACCTACAGTATATACAGAAAAGAGGCCAGAGAAATAGCTACATTTAAGGGGTGGGAGGAAAAAGGATAAACTGGAAAGATAGATCAGGGGGAATATGAAAACAAAATAGAGGACAGTCAAGGGAAAACAAGTTAACAGATAAAGTATCCATGTCATGTGGATATAGATTTTACAACCTGCAGTTTACCCTTGAGAGATGTTAATTCTTTGACAGTTGGTTCATCTTTAAAAGTAAACTGCACTAGACCTAGTCCAATGGGCTTTAGTGCAAAACCAGGAATGAACCTTGGCAGAGAATCCACTAGACTAGTTATAGTCCTGCCTCCAAGATCTAGGGCTTAGGATCTAGGGTACATTCAGAATAATAGGGCAACAACCTGATCTAAGAAGTTCTAGGAAGGTAATAACAGGCAAAAGTTGAGGCTTCATAGGATAATGGTCACCTATGAAATACTACCTGATCACCTTTAATCACAGTTTGATAAATAGATATAAATCAACCTATGTTCACCCTCCTTCCTGTCCCTGAGTCAACCACCAAAAATCCCCTTCTCCAGTGCTGCTAGTGATATTAGATCTCCTGAGAAGCCAGATATAAGCTAGATTAGGAATTTGAGAAGGAATGAGCTGGTCTTCTTAGGATGTTTTAACAACACGTAAATCAGGAAAGGGTTCAGGGAAAGTACAGAGTAAAGGGAGATGACAGAACTAGATACTTCTATAACAATGGTGGTTTTCCCAAAATATTATATGCCAGAAGTCATATTTGTGGGTAGGGTCGGGAATGAGAAAGAAGGATGGAATTAATGAGGTGGTTGGAAGAAAGGTTTTTTTTTTTTTTTAGGAATAAATTATAAACTAGAAAAGTCCTTCATCAATCGGACAAATAATCCTATCATTGTGTGTGTGTGTGTGTGTGTGTGTGTGTCTATCTAAAGACGTCACTCAATTAGTAGGTTTTAGCTTAGGATATCTCCAATGAGGGAGTCAAGGAAAACTCATGAAGGATACAGATAGTGTCTCCCTCATTCATGGTTGTTTTTCTGGCACTTACCAGAATGTTGGTGACACAGTGAACACCCAATATAGGTTTGACTGGAAAAGGAAAGAAGGACCAAGATTTCATTTATTATTAGAAATAATAAAGCAATAATTCATTTCTGTTAAATGTTGATTAGGTCCCTGATATTTTAACATTACACAGGTTCTCATTTAGTCCTCCAACAATCTTGTGAAGTCATTCCCATTTTACTGACAAACACTGAATGTCAAACTGATTAAGGGGCTTGGCGAATGCCATTTGTTTAAGTGGAAAGGTAGCATTCTCCCAAATGTGTTCAAATTTGAACTAAATTACTGAGCTTTTAACTTAAGTTATCTGAAATAAGATCTTTAAGGGTCAAAAATTGACAATCTAGGGGCACCTGGGTGGCTCAATCAGTGAGGCGGCTGACTTCTGATTTCGGCTCAGGTTGTGATCTTGGGGTCCTGGGACAGAGGCCTGAGTCAGGCTCTGCACTCAGAGGGGAGTCTGCTTGAGGAGTCGCTCTCTCCCTCTTGTTCTGCCCCTAACACTGCTTGCGTGCACTCTCTCTAAAATAATTTTTTTTTTTTAAAGAAGAATTGATATTCTAAATGTAAGGAGATAAAGGAAAAACCTAAGGAAAGAACTACAAATAGCTTCATATCAGGTAAGGTTTTCTGGACAAATGAGTTAAAAAGGAAAAAAAAAAAAAACCCACACAACTGTTTTCAGAGCGTATTTTTAGAAATAAAGATTGAGGATGAGATTGTAGATTTTAACAATGGAGGATTAACAGATTGAGTCCTTTCAGTAGCACAGTCTACTAATGTAGGAGATGCTTTCCTCTTTTCAGATTATTTCAGAAGGGAATAGTCTTTTATCAATTGCTGATCATTTGAAGATTCCAACATAAATCTCCCAGGGATTTTTATATGACTTTTCTGTCCTTTGCTGCTATTGTGCAGTATCAGGATTCCATTAATGAAAATTACACTCAACATTAAGCATCTCTATCAGCGGTCTTCAACTCTGGATACACATTAGCAGAAAGCTCTTTTAAAAAGAGTGCCTTAGAATGCAAGCTGGTGCAGCCACTCTGGAAAACTGTATGGAGGTTCCTCAAAAAGTTGAAAATAGAGCTACCATACGACCCAGCAATTGCACTACTGGGTATTTACCCCAAAGATACAAAAGTAGGGATCCGAAGGGGTACGTGC